GCTTCAGATAAATGATGGAGGTAGATAGACCCTTCCAAATGAGCCTCAACTACCAAGTATATGAATGATGACAGATAGACCCCTTCATGGAGCCTCAACTGTTGATGATGAGTTATGCACTGAACTGACTGCTGAGTGAATGGCTTCTGGTTCACTGGGGTTATAGCTAAGTACATGGGGGTTTATATACTGTGGGGGAGAGCACAGCTTGTGACAAACAAGGCACAAACACTTGATAAGTAATGAGTAAGGACTGAGTAATCATGATGAGTAAGCAAGAAATGAAAAGTAAGCAAGCAAAGAAGATTGGTAAGTATTGGCAATGAACAAGTCAAGGATAGTCAAAATATCACAGAATGAGTCAAATGGAGTCAGAAACTGAGTAAGCACACTGATATCACATTAGGGGGTGGCAATGCAAGTCAGATCTTGGTGGAGACATCACTAGACCCAAAGATGGCATGACAGATGGATGGTGTTTCCAGATAGGGAAGTATTAATTCCAGAATTGAAGGGCATGAGTCAGGTGTCAAAGGGGCTAGGGCATCGGGGGTCTATGGGGCAATGGGGGCATATGTGATCACATCTCCCACCCTTTCATCCTCTCAGCAAAGTTAACAAAAGCTTCATGGACAGGGCTCTGATGGAGGAGGAGAAGGGAGGATGTCTTCTGCTGGATCTTGCAGTAGGAAGGTAAGATGCACATCATACTCATCATGAATGCAATCAGGGAGGCTGGAGAACAGTAGATTATTCTGCAGCTGTCACAATGTGGGGAGACTGATGAATGAGATTGGAATAAAGATGGTGCAGGGAGCAGGGAGGAACAATCCACATGCTTCATCAAGAGGGGAGACTGAAACAACCACATAAGACCTTTCTAATCATGTGACAGACCTGAGGCAACCAAAGAATGTCCTTCTGGAAGTCATACTGACAAGGAGAATATGCTGACCAAGCTGCATGGGATGAGATGGGGCTGACAATGATGGGATAAACCAGGGGGCTTCAGGACAGAAGCTGGTGGGAATGCCTGGCAGATATACATAGCCACTGTCTCTGGCAAATGAGACAAGTGAGATGATTGATGAAGAGGCAGCCATTTCTGATGGACCTAGCAAAATGAGTGTCTGATGGATGGAGTGCTGTAGAAATGCATAGGGTGAGGATCCTCTCCAAATTTGGAAGGCAGAATCATGTGGCTGAGCACTTTAAGCGAGTGTGAGAACAGAGCTGATATCTTTGGAAATGGCAGAGACATGACAAAAATTGGAATGCCATACATGGGCACTAAAAACTTTTAATGTGCACTTAACTCACTTCCTCTTTTCTCTTTAGCACTGACAACTCATTCTTGTGTGAAGGATGACTGCTCACATCCAGCAGTCTTTCTGCACATGAGGCCTTTAGTCTTTATCTGCATTCATGGGCATTGTGCACAATGCATCGACAAGCTAGGCAGAGTCAGTTGTAACCATGTCCACAACACCTTTGGTGTGTGACACTGCTTTGGGTTGTATGACACTGCTTTGGGTTGTATGACAAAATTATATCTGATCAAGGTCCTCAGTTTGCCTCAGCATTCACAAAAGAACTTGCTTCCCTCTTAGGATATTCCCTTGCCCTGTCAACAGCATATCACCCTCAGACTGACAGAGAAACAGAACATGTTAACCAAGAGGCTGAAACATACCTCTGCATCTTCTGCCAGAACAACCCTGCTCTGTGGGTGGACAACCTTCCCATGGCAGAACTTGTGCATAATCACCACCCTCATTCCATCACCCATCAGTTGCTATTTTACCTCATGTACAGCTACAAACCAAAACTGCTTCCATCCCTGATTGCAGAAACCCACCTTCCTGCCACTGAGTCTAGACTTGAGGAACTCTGAAAAGCCAGAGAAGAAGCCCCTGCAGCACATGACCTGGCCAGAAAAACCATGAAAGATTGCTTGTCATGACCCTTCACCCCAGTTCAAAAAGGTGATAAGGTGTGGCTGTGTTAAGTACAGGTTCACCCTTGGGTGACCAGGCTTCAAGACTGGGTGTCAGAGGCTAAGTCTGGGTGACCAAAGTCAAGGCCAGGAAGGGCCAAGTCTGGTTGGACCAGAGTTAAGGCTGGAGGTCAGGGGTTAAGTCCAGAGGACCAGACTTAAGGGCCCAAATGGTAGCAGAATTTCTGCCTCCTTATGCAAAATATATACAATCCAACTCTGTGTGGAGTTCAGCAGACTTCTAAGTTGAACTATCTGTGACTGTGGTGTTTACTGATCAGGTGATGAATCACAGCTACCCACATATGCATAGTATGATATGCCACCTCAATGAACTGACCCTTATTGCAGGCTAGACCATTCCATGTCCCCAACCCACTGCTCACATTGACTTCACAGCAAGATGGAAAGTAGGGATTCTTGGTCAAAAGGAAAGGCCCTGTCAGTCAGTTCAAGCTCTGAGCCTCAGCCACAGCTGCAAGCTGTATGGCCCCATGCAGATGTTGAGATGCTTCTCGATTTTGTGGAGGAAATCCGACCCAAGGCAGGTGATCATATGGTCTTTCAACTAGGGCACTTCAACAATTTGGTATCTTGGTTACCTGTCCAAGCCAATGGATACTGTAAAACTGTGAAAAGCTGTTATGACAAGTGGGAAAGTGTGTGTTTATTGATTTATCCTTGTGTTCAGTATCACTCATCTCATACACAGCTGAAATGGGACTACTATGCAGCTTCAGCTGTTGCAAGGGGATTGGGACTTGCATATTCAGCAGCAAAAGGTGCTGATGTCATAACTGAGGCAGGGCAGCTCATGATGGATGATGTTGTTGAGGTATGTCTGAGATTTTTTCCTGTGTGGCACAAAAATCCTTGACCTTCCCCTAGAATCAGCCAGATACTGCACAGTACTGAAACACGGGCTTCAAATACTTCAATCATATGCAAGACCTTGCCCTTCCTGACAAGGCAAGGGGCACCAATGCACACCATGCCACTGGTGCCTGACCCCCCACCCAAAGGTCCCAGGCTTCTACTTCCATGTCATCCAATTTTCCTGGCTCCATTGTGCACCCTGTCATATTGCCTCAGCCTGCATCTATGCAGCCCCCCACACCATCATCATTCCTGCAGCCTGCTATGCAGCATCAGCTACCATTCACACAACCTCACATGCAGTATCAGCCACTGCCTGTGCAACCCACTACACAGTTTACCTTTGTGCAGGATCAATCTGGGTTTCCCAATCAACATCAAATCATGCAGACTCCTTGGAGTGTGCAGTCTGCCATACACATTCAAGGTATGCCTGGACATCCTTACCAGCCTTCCTCTCCTGGTAGAGGAGAATAGTCTCTAGTATGACCTCTGGAAGAGCTGAAAATGCTGTCCCTGCTTGACAATAGCCTTCAGGGACGCAGAATTGAGCACACTGCAAACAGTTTGGGAAGTGACAGGAGAGGAAAGGGCCACACACATTATATGGGTAGCCTGGACAGCATTTTCAGCTCTTCCAGAGGTCATACTAGAGACTATTCTCCTCTACCAGGAGAGGAAGGCTGGTAAGGATGTCCCAGTTTGAGGTTTTCCTTAATCTAGCTGGAACTCTTTGATGACCCTGGACACAGTAGAGCTCCCCTGACCAGTTGTAGAGGAGATTTGATGAGCAGAAAGGCCAGATTCAGAAAGAAGATGGATATTTGCTCTAGCAGAGGCAAAAATGCATTTCATGGTGAAGTAGGGTTAGCTGAGTGGGACCCAAGCCATTTTTTATGGCTCAGGATTATGTACATTACATAATCAGTCAGGGTTGAAGCACAAAATCCCTCAGAAGTTGTCAAATCTTTAAGTTATTTACTAAATACTGACTGACAACATCATGCTCAAAAAAGTGTCCCAATGACATGTCATTTTAAAATGGTTATATCTTGGTTCCATGTGGATCAAATTACATAAGCAAGCCCTTGTTGTCAAGGAAACAGTTAGTACCAGTTTTGGTCCTGCAGGAGTTTGAACTAATTCCTATTGGCTCTCTCATAAATCTCAACTCTTTCCAAATTCACCCAATATTGGGACACTTTTTTGAGCCACTGTACCAATCTTTTGACTTTGCTTACTGATTCTTCACTTTTTGGCTTACTTATCCTTACCAATGCTCACCAATGCTTTCTAAGATGATTACCCACTGCTTACATTCCTTACTTATCACTTACCAATCACTTACCAAGTGTTTGCACCTTGTTTTCCATAGGCAATGCCCCTGTACTGTATATAAATCACTGTACTTAGATAGCTGAATAAGAAGATGTCAGAGAGCCCCTCTTGCTCACAATTCATCATCTCTCAGTAATTCATTCAGCAGCTTTGATAGTTGAGGCTTCATTAAGGGTCTAACTATCATCTACTTTGCCTACTATCATCTATCATCAATCAGCTTCACTCCAAGCCCTTCCTGAGCTCAGTGCAGCTTAGGACATTGAATTAAGTCATCATCTATCCTTCTGTAGGCTGACAGCAGTCTACCCCATCACATTCTATCACATTCTTGCTCCCTCTTTGTCAGAAGCACCCCCAACCCTCAGCACTCATCTTTGAGTATTGTAGCTTGCAAAGACCACCCAAATAAAAGGTTCTACCATCTAGGTACCATGTAGGCACACCACCACTTGCTTTCATTGTCTTTTGTGTTGGTTTTGGTTGGTTTTCACCACTGAACCACACTTTGACTCACAATGTGTGATGCATAGGTCAGCACTGTGGTATCCCTGTTGGAGGTGGTGTGTTGAGGGGGACTTTCTAGATTCCAGAAGAACATTGCAAGGGCATTGATATGCTTTTTGGGCTATGGGATGGCTTTGATGTGGTGTAAGAACAAGACCCTGGCTTGTAGGAATACACTGAATGATAGGTTGTGGTCAGCTTGAGCATTTTGAGATGCTTTGACTGAGGCAACAGGTCTCATGCTGGAGAGACCAAAGGCATCATTGGTATTGGTTTTCACACTTCAAGCTGCATCACTACAGCCCTCAGGGGAGAAATACCATGGTTCTACATACTCACATGAGGTGAGTTTGTTGGTAGCATACTGTGAAGGTTTGTTAACAAGGATGCTAGGAGGGGTGCAACTGGTGGTAAAGTCACTCATCTGGGGTTCCTTCCACTCAGCATCCTGGGGTTCATTTTCAGCTGCTTTTGCAGCCAGTCTGTGTGCTTCAAGCTCAGCCTCAGCTTGTGCTTGGCATTGTGCTTCCCATTCAGCAATTCTGCATTGGTGACCAGTGTCCCAAGCTGTGATAAGGCATTCTACAGCTTGTTTGAGATCAATGTTGAGGTTGGCCATGAGTGCTTCATGAATTTCATGGAAGGCAGCTGATTCAAAGTTTGGGCAGACTTTGAGGTTTGGGTCAGCCATGGCAATGTGGGATGAGGAAGGAAAAGAATGAGAAGTTTGAAAGGAGTGGATTGCAAGTTGGACAGAACAAGTGTGTTTGTCATATGGTGTGACAACAAGGGACAGCAAACAAGGTGGTGGCATGGAAGGAAAAGGAAAGTGCCACTTACCTATGCTTTGTTGGAAATATCCTTAATAGTTCCGACGTCTAGATTGATCCAGACTTACACATGTATCAACACGTTGTTCATCACATGACATTCCTTAGCAATCAGCTCCACAATGATGTCATTCTGACATCATATTATACGTCATATTCCATGACCTTCTATGCTGTTCTTTACTATACTGAGTAGTAGTTTCCTTTTACGCTACTGGTCCGTGCGTACCTACTCATGTATATAAACTCGAGGATTTCTTCCTCAATCCCTATCGAATCAAGCATTTGTTCTTCACTTGTCTACTCGACAACTGAGCCCCTCAAGAACTATCAAAGCTTACTTCAAAAGTCTACTACCGTTCTGATATAAAGGCAAGTGTTCGTGCCTAGCTCTTCATTGCTTCCCGTTCCTCTGCGTGATAGGTTATGAGCCCCGCCTATAACTAGGTGGCAAGCTGTTTGCGGTATTTGCATAGAGCGTTCACTGCCGACAGGCATAACACTATGGATATCGTAGGCCTGGGTGCGCTAGGGACGGTAGTAGTAGTTTTCGCTGTCGCTGTTGTAGCCGGCCTTAATCAGGCTGTGCTTTTACTTCATTATGGTGGACATGACCCGATTCATCTACGGGAGCTTTTTGCTCGCTCCGTAGCCTTTTGGTTTTCCTTTCTAGGTCTCTCCGCCTGGTGGCGAAGGTGACAATTCTTGCTCCAAGAGCAGATTGTGCGCAGAGCGCTTTTACAGCGTCTCATTCTTTGTCCACCAACTCCGCCTCCTCACTATCTCCATTTCCATCTTCCCGACATCGACTTCGACGCAGACTTAGATCCTGTTCCACCGTACGAAGAGGTCGAAGCGCGTGACCCGCCTTCTCCTCGACGTGCACCGACTCCTCGTCCTGAGGAGGTTGCGGCTGTCAACGAGTTGCTAAATCCTGCGATCGTTCTCGCTGTCGATGACAACGCTGAGTTCGAATTGCTTTAAAATCTCGTTTGCTTTGTCGCAAAACAGGAACTAATTAATTTATAAAAAGATGTCTCTCGTTGTCGCAAAGAAACTCGAATTGGCCATTGCCGAACAGCGGGATGGAATGTATGATGTAAAATGGCGGAAGTATGCGGTCAAAGAGATTATAGAATACACAGAGATGTTATATGTACGGGATTGTGCCAGCTGGAGAGAGGCCGTGCCGTCGTCGGTGGCTTTTTTTCAAAAAGCCAAATCCTGCAACCGGTCTCGTTCCTATTGACACCGTGGAAACAGCGTGGCAGCAAATGCCCCACTTTCCCAGGTTCGAATTGCCATTCTTCTGTCCGGGTCTCCATCTAGCCTGTCATGGCTATCTTACCGACTTCTTCCCTAAATTGTCTCATACCTCGTCGCCACATGCTATCGCTAACTTTAATGGTTGCGATCTTCCTTCAGCTTACTATGAAGATCCTTCCCTCGACACTGTTCCCGCGTTCACAGTCACTCACGACACTTTCGTCTACATCTACTATAATGTCCACCCCCTCTACGATCCCTGCTTCAACGGCATCATCCCACCTCTTTGCCTTTGGAACCAGCATCTTGAGTTCCATTTCAGAGGAACTTGGGTTGACAGATCGACCGACATCAAGTGTGTCCCAGGGTGGTTCCGTGAGCGCAGACGCAGAGGAGACAGGTTTGATAGCAACTTATTTAGGGCTATACGACGGTACCGGGATGAAGCCAATATGGGAGTTGCTGTGCGATATAACGCTTCTAACCGACATCTTTCATGGGGTCTCGACTCCTCTCACAGAGACTTCGCTTACTGGCCCGGAACAGAAGAGGTTCTACGCGATCTCGAACGTGTCATGGACGACTCTACTTTTGACTATCTCGCAGCTCCCCGACCTCGCGGAATACGCACCACAGCTCTTAGCCAAGCTCGTGAAGCTCGAGCCATACGACAAAAGCTATCCTCTTCCAAACTCACTGGACGCACCGTACGCATCAGGCAGCCGAAACCATTCAGCAACTAATACGTGTACTTTATATGAATCTTACAATGTTTTTGAAATTCTTGTAAGGGACAAACATTTTCGTCATTCTGATGCTCTTAATATACCCTATTCTTGTGCCGATCCTTATTTAGGATTTCGTGCGGATGGGATTCCCTTGCATGATTGCAATTGGGGATTTATGGCTTATCACTACTTCCCTCCGCTAGACTTTTTAAGTCTAGAGCGCAATAGTTCTCGCATCTCCTCTTGGAGATTCGCTGAGAAGGGTACAAAAGCACCGGAAACAAAAATGGAGAAAAGACGAAATCCTCGACCCTATTACAAGAATAACTGTACACACAAGCGCCATCCATCTCAATCTGCTAGAGCATCTGCTCGCAGACCCAAAAGGAATCGGATTCATGAATTAAATCCTCCATCCATTCTTATCCATCCGACTCACTCGTTCTTATACGAACATCTGCTTATGGACTTTTGACACTAGATGTCCGAAGGTCTCTCTAAGCAGATCCCCAAACTCAATGGCTTGAACTGGGCCTCTTGGTCGGTTCTGGTGAAGGCATGTGTGCAAACTCTTGGTATCGTGGGAATCGTTGATGGCACAATCGCTCAACCTGCAGCTGGTGCAGGACAAGCAGCTATCGATGCCTGGCACACTTCTGATAATCGCACCCAAGGCATTCTTACTTTATATTGTGATCCAATGATCGCAATGTCAATCGATGGACACACGACTTCTCATTTGAAATGGGAAGCTCTTAAAACTGCATATGGAGCTCCTTCGGCCATGACTACTTTCATGGAGTTCCAGCAACTCATTCGCATTCAAATTAAACTGAAGGATGACATAATGCAGAAAATTGCAGAGATCACTATGCTGATTACTGCTATCAGCGCACAGGGCATTGCCCTAAACGACAAAATGAAAGCGCTAATTTTAGTCCATTCGATGACACAAGCCTGGGAACAGGCACCGGTTGATATTCTATCTTCCATTGCTGCCGATCAACTTTCTCCCGATACGGTCATACCTTGAATGAAAGAAGTCTGGGCCCACAAATCGGGCAAAACTATGCTTCCACAACAGGGTAAGGCTGGGTCTTCCTCGACCCAGGTGAAACAAGAATCAAATTCTCTTCTGGCACGTATGAATAAGCCTCCACTCTGTCAAATTTGCAGAGGAGGACGTAATACTTCCGATCATCAATCTGGATCTGGATCAGGATCCTTTCGCGGTTACCGTGGAGGTCGCAGAAGAGGTCGCGGAGGTCGTGGACGTGGACATGGAAATAGTACTCCCTATCAACAAGCATCACAGCAAGGTTCTGGTTCTCGTAGCCAAGGCCAAAACTGTCGTCGCGGCAAGGGCAAGGCCCGAGCTTGTAATTTAGAAGTCAAAGGTGCTGAACCTATTGACGCTGCCTACATAGAGGAACTTCCCGAAGATTCCTACTATGGGCAAAATTCCTGTGAACCCGAGTATACTGCTCAGGGTCAGGAATTCTATGAAAATGCTGCTGCTGCTTTCGATGCTGGTGATTTCGATATCACAGCAGTTAATGTTCCACCTTGCGAAACCACTCCCGAATATTCTCTCCCGGATCCTACTCCGGTTGAAAGAGTTTATTCCTCCGACCTTAATACATATCTCGGACAACATGTCGTTACAGACACCGAGATGTATGATCCTGATTTGTCTCGCCAAGATCTTACTATGGCGATGGAAGCTATTGGGGAATCCCCCAATTATCCAGTTGATGCTACAACCGGAAATCTTGCTCCTTGGTGTCTGGAGGAAATTCAAAATTTCCAACCGGATCAAGTTGAGTCAGTACTGATTCGTGTAAACATTCCTGGCTCTAGTTCCTGCCAATGTTCTATTTGTCGCTGAATAGCCAAGTCTTGCGTCCGACTGGGTGTATCCCTTTCGGAACCACAACAACAGAGCAACTCGGACTCTCATCCGAGGATGATTTCCCTTCCCCCTGCTGAGCAGGACGGGATATGTGCAAGTGGTTCCTTCGAACCCTCAGTACGAATGGGAGATTCCGTTTTGGCTGGCGAGAACTTGGTGGAGACTCGGAATGCAGAGGATCATGGCTATGCGTCTGAGACACAGCAACGGATTGTTAATCTCTCTTCCCCTCGACTTCGAGGACAGAATAGTAGAGACGGAGGATCTCTCTGCAAATCTGTATTACTAAAAGCCGCTAAAAAGCGTGCTAAGCCAATGTCCTTGTTTACCTTTCACAAATCAGTGCCAGATGTACCTGTTGTAAAACCTTTTCGAATAAAGCATAATCCAGATATCGAGTATGATCCTAACGAATCTGCCTCTGGGTATTTACCCATGCAATTTGATGGTCATGCCTTCGATTCTTATGACTGTTACCCTTTGGGTGTGTCATATTCGAATCTAAAAAAGAACCTTCCAAAGGGTGAGTCATTATGGATGTTGGATTCAGGAGCTTCACACCATGTGACTCCATTTAAAACTGATTTCTTGACTTATCAAGAATTTAAAAATCCGCCTTTGGCCTCAACTGCAGGTCTTAAAAAGGTTCAACTTCTCAGTCAAGGAACAGTGGTTATTCGCCTAGAAAATGGCAGTAACCTTCCACTGCATAATGTTGTTTACAGTCCTTTGTTCTCAAAGCGACTATGTTCTCGAAATGCGCTCCTTAATAACAGATATAGGAGCACAGCGACTTTAAATAGCGAAACTATCAGAGCACCAGATGGCTGGATTGTCCTTGAAGCTAAAATTGCTTCACCGACTTCACCTCTTCATTGGTTTGTGGGCGTACCGCTTCCACCTACCATTGCCTATGGGGTCCTTTGCCCTCTGGTCAAGGAATCTTAAGAGTCTC